GCCATGCTTGATAAGTGCCACTCTTTGCTCTATCTTTCTTAAACACAACAGGACTCCTAACAGTCTCTGACAAGGGGATTATAAACTACTGTGTTCTCAAGTGTGGGTGTGCCCACGCATGTGTATGTGTGTGTGTGTGCTGAGTGGGGAGTGGTAGCCACCACTCGGCTGCACTATCAGCCGAGTGGTGGCTGATAGTGCACGGTGCTATGATATCGGGATTTTATTCCTGGCTGCTGGATAACATCAGTGGCAAGTGGTAGCTGAACATATCCCGGACCCCCTTTATGTAGACTCGGCCTCAATTGAGTACTTGATGTGGATTGTAAACATCAGGATGGGAGGACGGCCGAAGCAAAGGTGGTAAGGCATGGTGCTGGTGCTGGTTAGACCGACCCCTCACGTGTACTGGCATGGTGCTGGTTAGAACAACCCCTCACGTGTACTGGCATGGTGCTGGTTAGAACAACCCCTCATGTGTACTGACATGGTGCTAGTTAGAACAACCCCTCACGTGTACTGGCATGGTGCTGGTTAGAACAACCCCTCACGTGTACTGGCATGGTGCTGGTGCTGGTTAGAACAACCCCTCACGTGTACTGGCATGGTGCTGGTTAGACCAACCCCTCAGGTGTACTGGCATGGTGCTGGTTAGAACAACCCCTCATGTGTACTGGCATGGTGCTGGTTAGAACAACCCCTCATGTGTACTGGCATGGTGCTGGTTAGAACAACCCCTCATGTGTACTGACATGGTGCTAGTTAGAACAACCCCTCACGTGTACTGGCATGGTGCTGGTTAGAACAACCCCTCATGTGTACTGGCATGGTGCTGGTTAGAACAACCCCTCACGTGTACTGGCATGGTGCTGGTGCTGGTTAGAACAACCCCTCACGTGTACTGACATGGTGCTGGTTAGAACAACCCCTCACGTGTACTGGCATGGTGCTGGTTAGAACAACCCCTCACGTGTACTGGCATGGTGCTGGTGCTGGTTAGAACAACCCCTCACGTGTACTGGCATGGTGCTAGTTAGAACAACCCCTCACGTGTACTGACATGGTGCTGGTTAGAACAACCCCTCATGTGTACTGGCATGGTGCTAGTTAGAACAACCCCTCACGTGTACTGACATGGTGCTGGTGCTGGTTAGAACAACCCCTCACGTGTACTGGCATGGTGCTGGTTAGAACAACCCCTCACGTGTACTGGCATGGTGCTGGTGCTGGTTAGAACAACCCCTCACGTGTACAGTGAGTTCTCCTATTACGCGTGTTTTCATAATGCGAATTGGATATAACGCGATTGAGTGAACAGAACTACGTTCTGCGTGTAGGAATAAGCGGTTGTACGGCTGCCTCGGCATAGCATCCCACAAGGCGGGATGCTGCTGGATGCTTCTAGATGCTAACCACACGCCTCAAGTCTTTGTTCAGCCTGCACACGCATCTCACGTGTTATCGTGAATTTACCTTTACCCTATATTATATATTATTTATTGAAACGTGATCTTTCCATAACGCAGTGTGCTTCAGGGACGGAACTACCGCGTTATAGGAAAACAGACTGCAATGCCGGCCGCAACAGATGCTCGCTATCAGCGTTTGTCTCCAGAAGTCTAGAAGACTGAACGGGCAATCTCTACTCTTTGGTTCTTTCGGGAAAGGCCCGTAGATAGAAAAATAGCTAATAGATCACGACGTTTCGATCGCAACACGAGCAATCGTCTTCAGGTGAAAAAATACAGCAGGCGGACTGCTGAGGCAGGAATGACGTTGATCAACCAGTGTGAATTCCTGCAGTCACGAAAGCCTCAAATCAAGATTGGGCAATTTCTGTTTTCATACTATGTACGTCTGTTTATTTTTAGCCTCATACGTAATGTTTAACTGTATTTTGTTATATTAATATACTTTATACGTTTCCATGCTTCAGTAGTTGGATGCATGCAATTTGCATCATTTATACTTTGGGTGTCACAAATGTGTTCTGTACTTGGCCCGATGTGGTAAAATGGCCTTACGTTTGCAAAAAAATTGAAATGTACGCGTAAAGTTAAGTTTCATTGCCCTGTAGTGAAGATTAAGTCACTTTCCATTTTTTTTTCACGAAGATTCTTGGAAAATTGAATACCTCATTAAAAGTGGCTTCTGGCTAACAATGAGGAGAGCCATTAGGCCATGTTTCATTTGAATGGTTACCCACTAAATACGGCATTAACCACAATATTCTGGTAGCTATGTACATATATAAGTATACCACCGCTATAAATTGCTGTATAATAATTGAGACCTACTCTATTATTACGTGATGTATTCTCAGCCCTTTGTCATCCTCTTGCCGATGAAGATGTTGTTGAACCATACTTGACCATACTCGTCAGTGGTGATTTGGCGACAAGGTCAGGGGGTACACAGGATTGTTTCGAGATATCCAGCACCGATGTCAGTCGTGGTTGGGAACGGAACTCAGGTCAGCGGAAATCATAACGCGGTCCATGAACCACTACGCCACCAGTCCACCCATTTTCACTTCACAGAGAAGTAGGTAATGTGACCGATTATTCTCTTTGACGAGCTGTGCCTTATTTTAACAATTCTATGTATATTTATATGTATTTCCTTTGAAGGCAATGGTATTGCCTGCAGTGTGCCTTACCTGGTAAAATAAATAAAAAATGGTTTAGTTTAGTACATTGACGAACATGTTCAGTGTTTTGTTATTTGTGCTTGTGCACCGCTGCTAATGCAGTATCGCCAAATACATCGATTGCTTTATTTAGATGAAAGCAATAGAAATCTTACCACGCAGGGTTTGGAGAGTGATGTGCTGAATATGCTTTGGCTGCTGTTCGCGGATGAACGTTCAACTCAAGCTGCTCTTACGACCTTTTCTCGCCAATATTAATAATGTTTGCAATAACTGTAACACATTTTTATGAAATCAATGATTGAATGTAATCAGTAGTGCTAAGTACGTACTGCTGTTTTGTTTACATACTGGAAATAGGGTAATACTAGAGTGAATACCAGTTACTTATTTAGCAAATATCCAATCACTGTACACACCACGTTTCTTCAAACACATGTATCCCCACCACCGCCAAATTGTAAACGATACATTTGTGTTTGATTACACACTCGCTATGACCTAGAAATGTTCAATAGTGTACACGTCACTACTGTATTCATGAATGCTGGACACAGCAGATGTGAGGTGTAAAAGCTTTGAGTTCCCTCAAATAACGCAAGAGTATTCGTTTTGCCTAAACTTTAAAATGCTTTTTGAAAAGCGTTATTCTTGTTGGTGTGTTGGTAGGTGTGTCAAACACGAGTAGCATTAGCATTTACTTATTTTATTTGGGAAACATAGGCATTTTATGCATAATTCATCAAAGCTACGATGAAAGGTACAAACAAATGTTCTTGGAAATTCCTGCCAGTGGATGTGTGACTTTTTTTTGTAGGCTTCTCAGTGACCCATGCCACCTGGTAAATGTGTCATTTCAAGCGATCGTCGACTTCCACTTAGTCGAACTTTGACCGTGCATAGGTACCACTGTGGCGAGATCTGAACTCTCTCTTCAGCTATGCAGGAGGTTCGTGGGTTCGATCCCGACCCTGACGTCTGTACATTTAGAGTTTGCATGATCTCCCCATGATGGTCGCGTGGGTTTATTTCGTGGGTCCTCCGGTTTTACGCCCTACAGTGAGAAACACGCGTTTAGAATAATTGGCTGCTGCTTTAAATTTACACGCGATAAGCCACTTTGTTGAGCTATCATTTGTGGCCAGGTCGCTTCTGAAAAAAGAGCTGCATAGCTCAATGGGCCTTACCTGGTAAAATAAAAAAATATATAAATCGTTTAGCTTTTGTAATAGAATTTGGTCCAGTCGATTGAGGTTACAGTAATGTGCGTCGTATGAAGGGCGCGCGTGTTTCAGACTAGACATTCAATATGCTCTCATGTTGAAGAGCTGTCGTTTGGAAAATAAGCACGTCGCCTCAAATTAATTCTGACTGATTATAACCGATTTGCGTATGCATAATATGCGGACTATTGTTAATATTATCATACAACATACATTGTACTAATTAGGTCTAATTGATTGTAGGGAAATATATGAAGATTTTTTTGCACGTGAAAGAAATTATAATATAATCATCTGTCACACAATGGGTGCAGTGATCATTTCAATATCATGTACACTTATGTGAAATTGCAGTAATGATTGCCTTTCATCAAAATCATTACTGATACGTATTTAGAATAATAGTGATCATTCGGGAACTTTATAGTTGTGTCAATTATGCATATAATGAGCGAATTCACAGATGCAGAAGGTGCACGCGTTGACAGACACCGTTTTACATAAAAATGCACATGGGTAAACATCTACGCGTAGATCATGATGCTGCATCCGTGATTTCAAAGCAATTATTTACGAAATTAATACATTGATTTGTAATCATGTAATTTCATGCATGTTTTATGGAATGCAATTTAGTTGTTTATGAAAGCCTCACAATCAAACTAAAAAAAAATTCAGAAGCAATGTTTGGCCAATTCCTCGTTTGTTATTTTAAAGTGTTTTTTTTTGGTGCTTGTGAGAGAATCAAATGACCCGGATAAAATGCATGCAAGGAAATATATCTCAAAGTTCCACACAGATGGGCTAATGAACCCATTTGCTCTAATATTATGTTCTGGCCAACTTGTAGTCGAGCAGGATTATTTCACAAATCGATGCGATCCATCAACCATTGCCTCGACAGTGCTGGATTACAGGCATGCACCACCATATCCACCACGTATGCGCACACAGTCACATATACACATAGAGTGTATTAACTATGCATTTTTATCTACTCACATATGTGCAATAGGGAGCCACAGGAGCTATGCATTTTTAAATCTAGATTAAAAACTAATTTATTTGAATCCTTTAAATCTAGATTGAAAACTAATTTATTTAGAGCGGCTTTTTTGTGTTTAGTTTGTTGTCCTTCCCCTGCACCTCCAATTACCACAGTTGGCTACGTACGGTGCAAAATAAGTTTTACATACACATACACACAGACTGTGAACGTAGTGTGCCGAGGTGACGTTGTGAGCCATCACTAAGGATTATACGTGAAAGTGCATCTTCACACAAACATGTCCGCATGAGATGGGTGATATTGATTATGTCTATGCATTTCACGTGAGGCTTCAGGTTGATTTTGCGATTGTTTATGCAATAAATGATACGCTAATCTCAGTGCAATGTCACTTTAATTTCAGCCATTAACGATACATTTGAAACATAAATGTGCATTAAAACTTCAAACAAATTGCTGGTGGGCTTAAATTATAATCATTGCTGGCATCCGTGCATCAGTGATTTCCTCTAAAGTCTTCCTTTAGTATTAAATTGCCTAAGTACTAATGTTGACACACACCACAACATATATCTACAATCTGCATGATTGAAGCAATCTCCAAAATTGGTTTCTACGTGAACAAATTTCATGAAGATTGAAACTGTTCCACATCTCATAGTGGAAATTAAGTTTGGAAAATAATTGTTTAAAAAATGCAGTTTAAAATAGTAGGTCTTTCTTTACCATTTGACAACATGATATTGTCTCTTAATATAATGATAATCAGTGTCGTTCATTGAAACTGCATCTCACAATGCTCTCACAATGTGGCACAAAACACACGGATGTGGAGTGTTTATTGGGTGTGATTTATACAATTGCTTGAATTTATAACCTAGATTATTCTGGATTGATTCAGGTCTCCCTTGGAAAAAAAATTGTCTCAATGGTCTGCAACCCGATTACAACTAAAACACTTATGATATTTAATATGCATGAGGAATATGCCAACATATGACAACATATCCACAAGGTGTAGATTAATTAAAATTGGGTATTGCACATAAATGAAATGTTTACAAAACATATTTTCCTTGATTCTCTACACTTATGGTAATGGTATTCGATCTTCAAGATCCCATCCAGAACGATGACGTGTGGCACAAATATGAACTCTTTGCATTTGTATTCAAACACTCCTGTTAAGGGTTGATGGTGACATGCCCACTGAATTGGAAATATCTATTCCCAGTTGGAATAACATTCAGAACATTTAATGTTGAGCCACTGCCTGAAATTAAGGGGCTCCGAGAAGGAGCTTTTAAAATATGATTCTTGTTTGATTTCAAACGTGGTTTCAAGATGACTCGTCTACTAAGAAGTTCAAAGTTATCACACATTTCCTTCAACTATGTACACTTCTTAACAAATATAGTGAAATGCATATAATCTGCAGCCCTCTTGTTTCACGACTCCTAACATCGGCAACGTCTACTGGACATCACCTGTGAAAAAGAGCTTTGTATCACATCGGATTCCACCAATGTAAATCAAGATTCTGATAGAGATTCTGAAAATCAAGCAAATGTGCGACTCCTAATTAATACCCACAGATTGGCGTGTCTAAATCACGATGTTCAAGAGCCGCATAGACGATTGTGATGGTGGCGCGGCCTATCGTTTCAAGTTGAAACTCTACATGAGAGCTGGTGGGGATGATGATGATGATAATGACAACAGTGGTTGGAGGGGATGGATCATGATGGCAACGATTGATGAAAATGACTGATAATGAAGCCGAGAATGATGACGATAGCAATGAAGAACGAAGATTGGAGGGAGGGGACGATGTTTGACAATGTTAATGATATCACATTCTCCACTGCTGTCACAAGCCACCACTTTAGCTGCGAGGTACAAAAGCAGAACTGGCCTTGTGGAACATTTATTCCCGCTATCTATTGCGCTAAATTAATCTCATTATCCCTGATCATTGGCACATTTTTTGCCAATTATCGGAGTTATTTCAGTAGACATCTATATGAAATCTGCCCCTTAATCCGTGAATGGTCTTATCCGTGATGGGGTACTCGCCAGCCATCATGGCAAAAGAGGATTTCCACTGTAATATTTCTCAGAGTCGGATGTATGCATCGTGAGTGCAACTTGAATAGTGGCCGCTTCCTTAAGTACAGCTCATTACGTATAATGCCAATAGTGGTGGTTCTGGGATACAAATAGGTCACTGGCCACAAAAGCGGAATTGAACATTGGAATTCAGTATATTACTCACTTTGCAAATCATTATTTTATTGCTGAAGGTATTTAGCATGCAGGGTGACTGGGAGGATTCTCTTGAGCAGAATAACCTTTGCAAGCACACATCCTTGTCTTTATAATTGATTAGTCCACACACACACAGTGGGCCTATTTCCATTTTTCATCTGGAGAATCCGGCTTGTTGATTCCCTTGACCGAGCGCTTCAATCCACGGAGAGCCGCTCGTGCGGAGAGGGACCGACCTTCGCCAGATAAAAGGGGCAGTGACTTTTTCAAAGATTCACAGGCACTTATTGAGCCATCACTCGTCATCGGCTAAAGGTCCAAAGCATCGTCCAAATTAACCAATTGGCAATTCTGGCATGTGTCACGTTGCTCGGTATGTCTAGGGGTCCCTATAACAACCATCAGTGAAACCTTGGCCCACTTTCTGTTTCGAATTCATTATCTTTGTGACACTCCTGGTGTAACGAGTTACATTTTTTGCACTAAATGAATTCCAATAATAACAAGTACACTTTTTATGGTAGCAGTCATTCAGCTGAGGAATGAAAAATGTCCAAAATGATGTCCACCAAGGAGATTTAACGATTAATTAGTTTGTGTACAGGGGGCTGGGTGGCCTATTACATCTCAGGATTATGCGAAGTGTCACTGGTTTGGGGAGGCCTTCATCCAGCTGTGGAATGACAATGGCCGATGATGATGTTGTTATGTATTTATAAATCCTGAGAGCGCAGCTAATTTTTTTCAGAGGCATTTTGCACGTTGACACGAGCATGTTTTGAAAGCTGATAATAATGCTTGGTAAATACCGTATATGTGACTTTGTAAAACATATTTACTCCACCCCTGCTGAAGTTATGTCGGTTTATCAAAGAAAACACGGACCTAGTAATAAAGGACCGTTGAAAAAAAACATTAATTCGGTATTTCCTATTTAAACAGTCTTCCAACTTTAGTGGCAGATTGATTATATGCGTGTGTGCAGTGAAAAGGCCTACAGACTGAATATGCAGATGTCGTTGTTTATTTGGGCTAAAAGGCCCACCGGTGACATTTGACCAGAGTGTGGTTGGGGCCAGCAACAAATGTCTCTTGGAAATGGGTCGGGGCATTGGAAAGAGCTAGCTTCCTTCATGTAGTATTATTTATTTATTTCATTTGTCTGGTTCGCAGGCAGTTTGCATGTGAAAATGAGATGTCATAGCCCCCTGCTGTGCCTAGAAAGAGCAGTCGACACGCAGTGTGACAATTACAAAATGAAACAAATTCAAACGTACTTTAATCTGCTTTTCGACAATCATGTATTGAAATGTGGCATCACTTTTTGCTGTTATAGAAGGCAGTGAGCATAATAAACATCACTCGCCCGCCTCTCTCACATTAGCCGATATTTATTTTTAAGCTGTGGTGCATGGGGTGGAGGCATTGCAGCAGTAACAGGATTTGGGATAACTGTCAAATTGATGTCTTGTTGCAAGGAATATCACTTTGGTCATAGCAAACCTTAAAATATCGTATACAATGCCTCTTTAGCAACTTGTACTTAAGGCCAGACACATACGCAGCTACAAGTGTCGGTACACACACATTACTTGGCATTCGTTTAAACAATCATTTCTAAGTCACTCATAGTTCACTATAATTGCACTGAAAATGCTATACTCATACTTTGATATGTAAAACACAACAATGGTTATAGGTATTGTCTTATATTCATGTTTCAGACGTATAAATATGTTGCCAAGATTTTACCCCTACAGTGTTTTTCATTTCCAATGCCAAATTTATTGGTTTTCAGAAAATGTTATTGGCCCTAAAAAAAATTAATAAGATAAAAAAAACAACGGTGTATTGATTGAACAAACGTTCCTAACATTAACATACCCTAACAATATTTAAATATTCACACCGTCTCTGGCACCTAATTATCGGTGTGTGAATTGCCAGATGCTTGAGGTGCATTTCTTGAAGGTGCATCAGCAGCGGAGGTGCGAGGATGGCGCCCGTCTCCTGTTTTTTTTCTTCCCACCGTTAGGCCCCTTCGTCTCCGGAGGCCTCATTATCTCCCACCTGCGTGCGGTGGCTTGCACCGGCACCGGCACAGCCATCCGCGCTTGTGCCGCCATGTTACACCGCCAATTAGGGCCCTCGTGAGTGATCGCAACTCGGACACGCCGAGCACATGCCTCCATCCGGGAAGGCTCACCGCGATCAAACGCACATCTGCCTTCGGAATCCCGGGGCTGCCAGTGCTGCAAGCTTTTTTTGCTTTGCTATTTCATCTTGAAATGTTAACAACACTTGCCACTTTTTTTTTTGGGGGGGGGGGTGGGGTGGGGGGGTGCTTTGCCCATGCGCAAGGTGATTTATAGAATTTTTTTGTTGTTGCAAGCTTGATTTTCCAGAAAAGTGTTGGAAAAGCATGTTTGCTGTAAATGATGTGAGATACTTTGGAATTTGATGCAAGGAAGAATTGTTAATCAGATGTTTTGGTATATGCTACAAGGTCAAACGATGTAGCCTCCACTCCGCTAACCCTACCGCGTCCCCCCCCCCCCCACACATGATTTGATAATTGCTGCAATATATTGTTACAATTTCATTCGAGCATATATTTTTGTAAATAATGTTTGTAATTGTAACAACCTCTCGTGGCAGCAGGGGTCATGTAAACTCATTACATACAACATAAACAAGTAAAAAAAAGTTGATTCTTACTCATGTGATTCAATGCATGCATTGTGATTTCAATACCAATATAAATGGATCAATGCATTATTACACCTGTATGTATGTTGAACTTCTTTTGCACCTGAAGGCTTTTGCAACCAATATCATCCATAATAGAGGTTTTTGGGTTAAATCGCGTAAATATATAAATGTGTTGTTAAAAACTTGCCATCACCGGACACAGCCAACTCATAAGGGTTGTCACGTGAACAGAACATGCCAATTCGTCACTAGTACAGCACACCGGTGTGATGAAGCTAGTTGTAATTACTGGCGAAACGTCGTACTCAGTTTGTAAATGTTGTCGCTTGGCTCTCCAACACACCGGTGTGCTGTACTAGTGACGAATTGGCACGTTCTGTTTACACGACAACCCTTACTAGTTGGAAATGTCGGGTGGTGGCGGGTTTTAACAACACATTTATATATTTACGCGATCTAACTCAAAAACCTCTATTATGAATGATTTTGCACCGTATGTAGCCAACCGTGCTAATCAGAGTATATACTTCACAATTACAGTATTTATAATACATGCAGTCTCTGCAACACTGTGAAATATTATCTTTTGCCTGAAGCCTTTAGACAGGGATGAATTTTTAATGTTGTTAAGATTGCTCGAAGAAATGTTATCATAAATACTATTTAATATTAAACAGCATTGTCAGTGCTGCAACCAGATGAAAGGTGTGCTCCTTAGGTAAAAGATAGGGCTGCTTTAAAACAAAATTACAATGAATTGCAACATTTAATCTTGAATCCTACTTTTCATCTGAAGCATAATATAGAATTCTTCATTACACAGACATGCTTTTCAAGCTTAAATGTATACCAAATATATTATTAATTATGAAATGGTAATTATAATTAGTAACCTCGTTATGTTCCTTATTCAAAAGAGTCATGCGATTGTCCATTTATCATTTTCTTTATAATTAGAGGTTAGTACAGAATCCAATAAGAGAGCAGACCTCGAAATTGGCATTATCTCCTGAGCATACAGTATTACCACGTTCAAGAGGTTCGGAACAGAGCCGTGGTGACGTCTTTTGCAATGTAAACAATCAAATGAGTTATTTTTATTTCCTTCTATATTTCCAGAATCTTGTTGCGCTTGCCCTCGTGCAAGCAGTGGCCACTGCCGCGCTGTGGACAGCCTTTCTGACACAATGCGTATTAACGGAGGCCCTTATCAGCCCCATGCCCGAATTCCAGCGAGAGAGAGGGGGCCCCCGATTGGAGCAAGTTAATCTCTTCTGGCTCAGCGCCGCCGGGTGTTGTTTCCATGTATGCGGTGCGTTTATCCACAGTGCCCCCTGCCACCACCACCACAAACCACCCTCACTCCCTTCGCTCTCCCTCCCTCCCTCTCCAACCTTCATTCCCAGTGGAAAAATTGATCATATCCAGACGGCACCTACATATTTTCCTACTTCAAATGTCTGTCTTTCGCTAAAAGCCGGAGTGCCCCTTAGCTTTATTGCTTAGCAGCAGGGGTTACTCATAGTGCAGAACCCCTGAACTGGAGGGAAAGAAAAACGTAATGTCCCTCCAAGTACAGAAAGGTAGACAGAGTCCAATAATAACAACACAATTCTCTTTGTTCCACTCGTAAAGAGAGACTTTTATATTCGATCGGATCATGTGCCCATCTATGCCCAATCTCGCTTCATCCACACATATCCAGAGATATGAGGTTTATATGAAAAGGAAGCTCCTGGGCTCCAGGTGTAACGTGGAAATTCAAATCACTCGCACATGTGGTTTTTAAAAGTTGGTCTTTAAAAAAAAATCCACTTTTTTAATGTGAGAGCAAAAGAGACGAGAATTTGCATTCTCAATGTCATGAACTGTATATTCATTTCACTGCTATTACTGTTAATCAGGTGAAGAAAGTGGGGGGGAAAACCTCTCTACTCCAGCGTATTTAACAGCGGTGGTGTCACTGCAAGTTGCCCAGGTCACACCAGACTACGTTTAGAACTGTTACGATTCAGAGTAAAAATTCAAAGGCTCCATCGGCTAAACTAAGGCAACTTGTATCAGATTCTCAGATAATCTTGTGAAGCCACCCTGCGCGGCTGCCTTGTTTGCATGGTGTACTTGGCGTGCGGCAGGCTTTGTAAGAAGATATTCATTTGTTTGGTAGTCTTTTTAGAGTCTGTGGCATATATTTGGTAAACATTGAATGAAAGCATGATTATTTCCTTTTGCTGGGAATACCCCATTAATGGGACTCTCTTTCTCACATGTGCGCACAGTGCTACTCAGTGTTACTACGGAACACTGTGACGCTTGTTCCACCTTGTGGTACCCAAACCGTGTATTATTAGCTGTGGCGGGAACATATGTAACTCGGTAAGTTTATGCTACCTTTGTCCTCATCGCGACCTTCAGCCATGCACTTGCATTAAACGCTGCAACCGCCACCACAAAGCCACTCATCCCTTCGGATTAAAGCCCTCCGGTTGTTTCTGCCGTTGGACGTAAGCTCTGTTGAGGATGCACTTTGCTGGACCAAAAGGTCAAACCGTTGTGTTTCTCACACTTAAACGGCTGCGAGGACATATTACTGAGCTGCTTTACACCAGCAGCAGGTCTGCTTTGGCGATGTCTGCCTTGTAGAACGCACACGTGTAAAGTGAACCCAACAGTGCCTCTTTTAACTGAATGAGTCCGCGCAGGCGGTCAGCGTTAAAAGTCACGTGGAACCGAAGGCGGCGGTGGGGTTCGAGCATCGTTGCTGTTTACAAGGGGTGGAGCGATGCAATGATTTGCCGATTGAATGTTTGATTCGCAAAACCCGTGCTGCGCATGTAGGATTGCGTGTCTGACAATGAACGTCAGTTCGTGTACATTGTATGTAATGGGTTCAAGAGACACGTAGATCCACTCGAGGCACGACCATCCATCACGGTGCTAAAAGATGGAGTCGATTCTTGAATTGGTTTTTTTGACCCTGGATCCGGACAACATTCCAAATGGGTTCGCACACACCCACACACAGGTAAAGGTGAGATAAAGATGCAGCCCTGAAATGCACTCCAGAGGTGACTTAGCCTGCTCTTTCAATCTGGCCAAACACCTTGAAAGGCATGGGGGATACCCACACTTTACCTCACCATACGCAACCTGCGTCTTTGCTCACGGTGGTGCACCCTTTTATAATGCTGGGTTGACAGAGGCCGTTGGATTGAAGACACTCGCACCATTGTTTTGGCTGCCACGCCAGGAGATCGAAACGGCCACCTCTGGATAGATAGCCCAGTGCTGTGACCATTTCCACCACGGGAGCCACTCAGAGAGTTGATTTTAAATGCGGGACTGTCATGGAAATGGCAGGTAACGTTGTGGTTCATCCATTTTTTTGTATTGTTTGCTTTTTTTGTAATTGTGTCACCCAGAGTTCCGAGCACAAAGAGCCACAAATCTGTGCAATTCTATGAGACGCCATGAGGAATTTTATCTCTGGATGTAGTGGGAGGTGATGGTGGTGGGGGGGTAGAAGGGAAGGTGCAGCAGTGGGAGTAGAGGATGAGTGGGGGGCAGGGGGTGCTGTGTACAAAGCCCAGCTCACTCTGTTTATCTGAGGAATTTTTTTTCATGAACCAACTGTGTAACGGGAAGCCTTTAGCCTGCAGCAAAGCAATGGGGAAAATTGCTACCGTGCACCCTTCCTCTCCCCAATGCCCCCCCCCCTTTCCATTGTTTTGCGTGACGTTGAGAGGAAATGTGACGCAGGGTACATGGGACATCCAGTACTGTACCTGCCATCTTCCTGAACTCTCCACAAACTGCCACCTCGCCCCCCACAACTTGCCCATCTTCTCGATCAGTGGCAACCGCGATGGTTTTAGGGCACTTAGCAAGAAGCAATGTTGAGGACCGTGCTGGAATTGTGCGTTCAACAAAATTCAAGAAATGGTTCTACTAACTGTATTTGCGTACATAAAAAAACAAGGTTGATAGCACGCTAGGCGACAAGCGAGGTTGATTATGTGGGGAGTGATGGTGTAAATAGTGAGAACACTCGTACTGTGTGACCCTAGCTCTGCTTGAATTATCCACCATGTGCAGAATATAGTAAAACAATTATGGCTAATCGCCTGATGAAGCTGGTTGTAATCACCAGTGTAACGTCCTTACTCAACATTGTAATTGTTGTGGGTTTACTCTCCAACATACCGCTGTGCTGAAGTGGTAATTAATTGGCACGTTTTGTTTGCGTGACAAACCTTATTAATTGGCTGTGTGGGGTGGTGGTGGGTTAACGACATTTAAATGTACGCGATCTAACCCCCCCCCCCAAAAAAAAATCCTTTATTATGGATCTAAAGTTGTGTCTGAACCTGTCCTGGACTTCTGTAGGTCGACTCAGCCATAAAGTTATCTGTTTTAGTGTGTGTCAGCCTTAGCACTG